GTGTGTGTGTGTGTGTGTGTGTGTGTGTGTGTGTGTGCGTGTGCGTGTGTGTGTGTGTGTGCGTGTGCAGGTGGGTGTGGGTTCACGTTACGCGCGTGCACGCATGAGTGTGCACGTTGTGCATGCGTGTGTATAAGAAGCGGCAAACGGTGCCAGGCCAGGGGTTCAGCAATCACGAGGGGCATGCTCACGATGGTGCGGTAGGGGTTCTTCACCAAGCTGGCGGTTTGGACTGCCTCGCAGATGTCCTGCAGGATGGAGGCGAAGCATTAGTCAGGCGCAGTCTATGCCTCACTTGCCGCAGGCAGGGACGAGGCTGGGTATGCGTAGCACGTCCCCTCAAACATCCACATTCTTGCGTGCAAACCGGTCCCTCCCCCACCTTGCCGTTGCTCCATTCCTCCCAGCGCCTCGTGTTTGCATGCAAGCGACCACGCACGTGCGGTCAGGTCTAGCGCACCTCAAACTCGACGTCGACGTGCTGCGTCCCACGGATCCGCTGCAGCACGCGCCGCCCCGCCTCCTTGTGCCCGCGCAGCACCAGGCTGTTGGGCGTGTCGGGCAGCGCGATCGCGCCGATCGACAGCAGCAGCGCCGGCACCGCGCCGCAGGCGAGGGACACGCGCCAGCCGTAGGGGCGCAGGTACTGGGTGCCGTAGTTGATGCACTGCGCCCCCAGGATGCCAATGGTCACGGCCAGCTGGAAGCAGAGGTTGAGGGCGCCGCGTGCCTGGTAGGGGGCCATCTCTGACAAATACAGGGGGGTGGCCTGCGGTTGGGAATGAAGGGCGTTGCCAACGCTGATCTTGAATTATGAAAAGTGGGTACATGCCAAGGGCCGCCGTACGGAGGTCGCCTGGAGCACAGGAGGGCCCTCGCGTGCAGGCAGTAGCTTGATAGCGCTCGGCACGGGCTCGATGCTGCGTGCACTGGCCGTATGACGCAGTCTATCGCAGTCCGTGAGAACGGACTACGAGCCCGTTTGCAGCCCTGGCTCGGCTCTGGGTGCCGCAGCGCGGGACCGGGCGGCAGCTGGCCGCCCGCACCTGGCAGGCGAAGCCGACGCCAAACCCCAGCACGATGCGCCCGACGACCAGCATGCCCGTCGCCACGGCGCCCGTGACGAGCGCGGTGCCGATGAGAAAGCAGGTGCCGCCGGCGAGCATCGTCATCTTGCGGCCGAAGCGGTTGCAGGTCCAGGAGCCGATCATGGCGGCGACGGCGGCGGCCAGGAAGAGGGACGATGTGAACAGCTGCAGGAGGTGGTCATTGAACCTGGGTGACGGCGTTGGGGGTAGCGCACGCACGAGGTGTTTAAACACGGATGGGTGGCACGAGTAGAGCGGTTGGGACGGACAGTGAGGTTGCGTGCGTGGTGAAACGACAGCTCCCAGATGAGCGCAGACGAGGTGTGCAACGCCGGTTGCTTTGCAAGCGGCGACTGCCGATGCGCTGCAAAAGTAGCCAGGCAAAGCGCGCGGGGCCCACACCCACTTGCAGAAGGGGTCAGAGTCAGCGCCGGTCCCTTCCATGCCAGGGAAGAACTTTGGGCCAAAGTCAGGGTGCGCGATGACACCACCTGTCACCTGCAGGGCAACAGGCGGGCGCAGCGGGCTGGCTGCTGTTGGCCGCTGTCACCGCAACCTCACTCCTGCTGCGCGGTGACACGCCCCGCACCCCCAAACAGCCAACCCGCACCGGTCAGGTGATGTGTGTGTTTTCCGCAATCTCACCCCGTTGTCGAAGCCAAAGAGTAGGCCGCCGCTGGCCGCCACGATCGCAATGAGGATGACAGCAGGAGTGGTTTTCCCCTCATAAAGGGCCACTCGGCCTGGCTCAAAGGCCGGCCCGACCGCCGCGCCTGCGGGCGCCATGGCCCTTCCTTGTCAGGAACAGTGGAGCTTGACGTTCCTGCAGTTGACGGCGGAGTTGCGTCCAAGAGGCGG